AAAATAAAAATATATAACTTACAAAAAGGAAAATATTTCATGACTTATACAGAAAACAAAAATAGACATCAAGATATATATCCCCATTTTTAATAAATACAATAATAAAGAAGCTGTGTTACAAGTGACTGTTTACAGCAAGCATTATCATTCTCTATAAATAAAGAAATACAAGCATTTCCCTCCCACCAAATAAAAAAATCAATTGATCAACAAATATGTAACAAATATTTTTTTTCTAAGTCACATTTAAAATTGCAAACTCAAAATTGACTACTTGTGTATCAGAGACTTGTTTTGTACTTCACTGACACCTGAATCTACTACTAGCTTGCCTTTTACCAACCACAACTTGCCCTTAAAGAGTGAAATGCACAGAAAGAAGCCTACAAGCTACAGAACAGGAGGGCAACATCCACAATAAACCTACCGTCCATTCCATTGATCTCCTCGTAGGCCCTTCGCTTTAGCAAAGTTGGTGAGGTGTTATTGACAACAGGAAGCTCTCTGTTGGGTACTGGTGTGTATATCAGACTGCCATCTGTAAGATATTGGAAAGGTTGTTGTTAACTCCATTGTCCAAGACCAGCCATTTTTTAATCAGTTCATAAACTGTTCACTAGCTAATGGTGCACCCTTGACGGGAGCATGTATAATGGTGCTATCTTTATATCCATACCATACCTCTCCTAGCTAATAATTTCTCTTTAAGTGCTGCCTCTTATCCTTTTTATTTAGTTACTCTCTCTCTCTCCTCCAGTAGATTAACTGGTTATGTTTAGCTTCATTTCCAGACTAAATTTCTTGTAATCAAAATATCATGTTTGTTTTTTTATTATTCTACATTACTTTTCAATCAAACCTCCAACTTCCAAGATGCAACTGAAACTCAATTGTACTTTTTATTTCAAATAATTTTTTCACATGCTTCCATAATTATATTCACCATGATAATAAAAACAAGGTGATAGTATAGAACAGCCTGCCTAAATTCAAAGGAATAAGGTATACACTCCCTCCTTAAATTCAAAACAAAGTGTAAACATTTGTAAACAAATTACAAATACATGTGTCTGTATGCCAAACAAAGAATAACAACATAAAAATGGAAAGAGAGAAAGAGAAGGGGTAGGGAAGGGAGAGGGAAAGAGAGAGAGAGAAATATGGTTGGTGGGTGGGTGTGAAGGAGTATCTGTATGCTTATGTGAATGAACTGATGAATTGGTGAGTGAATGAGTGGGTGCTTAAATGAGTATGTGAGATGGTGTGTATGTAAATAAGCATCCATGCATTTGTGAATGAATTAACATGAGGGAGGGAGAGAAGGTGGGGGAGAAGGGAGAGGATGAGGTCAGGAAAGTGGAAGTGAAAGAGGGAGGGAGAGAGGGAGGGAGGGAGGCGAGAGAGAGAGAGAGAGAGAGAGAGAGAGAGAGAGAGAGAGAGAGAGAGAGAGAGAGAGAGAGAGAGAGAGAGAGAGAGAGAGAGAGAGAGAGAGAGAGAGAGAGGAGAGAGAGAGAGATGTAGGTGAGAAGGGAGGGGGGAGGGGGAGGGGGAGGGGGAGGGAGAGAGATAGAGAGAGGAAATGATGGAGGGCAGGAAGGAGAGAGGGAGTGAATGTCCATGTGTAAATATATGAGCTTTCGTGAACATGAATGCAACCAGAATGTTTATCTGCAAGGATATACTTTCTTTTTGCCAATGCACCTCTGCCACCTTCCTGTAATAAAGCAGCCATACAAAAATAAAGCTGGATATATAATCAGAAGGAAAACTAAAATAAACAAGGATAAGGAGAGAGAGAGAGAGAGAGAGAGAAAAAAAAACATCTGGTAGACATTGTCTAAGATCTGTGAGCAAGCAAGTATTGAAAAAGCCTTTCCAAATTCTTGTGTATGCAAAAGCCCCTTTAAGCTGTAAACTGAAGAGGGAAAAATTCCAGAGGTTGGTACTGGGTATGATGATAGGCTCAACCAAGGTTATACTTTAACAATAATAGATAAATAAATAAATAAAATAAATATATATAATATATAAATTATATATATATATATATATATATATTATATATATATATATTATATATATATATAATATTATATATATATATAAATATAAATATATATATATATATATATATATATATAAATATATATTATATATATATATATATATATATATATATATATATATATATATATATATATATATATATATATATATATATATATATATATATATATTATATATACACACACCACATATATGTATATATATGTATATATATACATATATACATATGAACACATCACTATGTGTATTCATGTATGTATGGTCACATTACATATGAAACAGAATGTTCAAAGCCTTGAGTCATCCTTGTAGACTCCCTCTTAAAAAATAATTAAAAAAAAATCAATAAACAAAGTGTTTGACTTCATTTTCACCATTTCAACAATCTCTCCAACCACCATGACTGACAGTGTATCCTGCCAGTTCTCATCTGAATAAAAATTAATAAGTAAATAGAGAAGTGCCTCACAATCTCTCAGCATGAGGTAATAGTTATACAACTAACAAGTACCATAAAACCAATAGCTTGTCATCAACAAACCAACCTGGTCCCTTGGGAGGTTTTGGGAATGCTATGTGAGGTTGTTTTGGGAGGAGCAACTTGTCCGTGGGGAGCATCCAAGCGGGGCAAGCCAGGTCCTTTTGGCCTAAGCGGATAGACACGTGAGACACTCTCCCTCGTCGCCGCCCCGTCCCCCTCTTAACCAGGTACGCAAAATCTTCAAAGGATTTCCCACCCATCCGCTGGAGACCTGAAAGGTTATCCATATAGTGCCCCTTACAATTCATAAATTGTCCATAGGTTTTTCTACACATTCTGCAGATCAACTATATCAATGACACTTTTCACAACATACTTAAGCTTGCCTAGTTGTACGCAACTTACTCTCTTGTCGAATATTTGCTGCATTGATGGGCCAAGTTGGATTGCGACAAGCTTTCCTTGGTTGGATGATGTCTTGACAAAGGCGACGCATTACACGAATGGGAAGGCTAGTGTGTACCATGATGGCTGCCCGAGTTTTCATGATGGGTCTTGGGGAGCCAGCTCGGAGTGCCACTCCATGTGCTTGGGCAGCGTGGCGAATTAACTGCGATCGTGTCTTGTACTCTCGTCCACACCCACCTACATTACACCGCTGTGAACGACTGCCACTGTGCAGTCGTTCTGGAAAGTAAAACGCGTAGACTTACACCTAGCACACCAATCATATTTCTTCTATATTCTCTTAAAGATACATCCTATATACAGCCACTCACACATGTGCATCTGTGCATATCTACATATACATGCTACTTCATACAAATTCTGTGAAATGTGACTTAATTCTATAATGTTAATTGTTCACATACATATGCTTCTGTACACAATTTGTTGATGCATAAACATAGATATATTGATGTATATCTGTATGCAGGTGGCAATCCCAGTATTATGAGTAAAATTCTCTATCATCAATGCAAACCTACTGCAGGTGTAACACATATGTATATGTACATTTAAAAGAAATGCTATGTAAGCTTACAAGATAACTTGCATGTATAATAATGAAATGAAAAAATATAGCTACTAACCCTGATATTTCAGCCTAATCTTTGCAAACTTTATGGTCTATGTATAAATGTGGATATGTATTCATATATGTGTTTACAAATAGTATCAAAATTTGTTTATGCTATTTAACATTAATAACTCTTTAAAATACTTAGAGGCTTATATAATTATAGTGTGAGTGTGCATTATCTGTATGTGTGCATGTCTATGCAAATGACATTATGTGCACAGAAAATATGCAATGGTGTGTGAATGTGAACATATACACAGATATGCATTAAATGCATGGGTATCTGTTTACAAAGATTGTGATTCAGTCTTATCCAGTCTGTCAATCAATCAGTCAAAAATTCTCTCTCTCTCTCTCTCTCTCTCTCTCTCTCTCACTTGTACTCAAAAAAGGACTCACACGCACAGAGCACACATTTTTACTATTTTTACAGGTTTATGCTTCTTTATAGATTACCTTTTTATTTTCACTAAAGGAAAAAACTTAAAACATACAATAAAGCTTTGTTGAATCCTGACCTACAAGGTCTACCTGAAAATAGATTGTTTCACAACTTCTGTTCTTGGAATGCTAATGATGTTGGTTTACAATGCTGGAAGTTTTGCAATGTTTCTTGCAAAGTTCACATATTCTATATACTACTTAGGTAACAGAAGGTATATAGAATAGTTTTTCTTTTCAATCTTCTCCATTTGTGATCACATTCAAAGATAAAATCTGTGTCCAGAATTGAGAGGGGCAGACATTGTAAGGAGTGATTGATGAGACGGGAGAGAAGGCAGAAAAGAGGGAGGCAAAGAAGGGAGGAGTGGGGAGTAGGGAATGGGAAGGCGAGGAAGGAAAAACAACAATAAAAAGGAGTACTGGGGGACAAAGGAAATGACAGAAGGAAAGAGGGAAAGACAAATGCATGCCTCCTAATCTAATTAATATTAGGATGTCAGTACTGATTTTATTACCTCCCCATTTAAATTTTAAATTGCGACTTTCCAATTTAGAAAACATAAGAAGCCTTTACCAACCAATAAATTTCCTCTAATTCTATTACAAACCTGCATGCTACGATAATCTTTCCTGATAGTGTCTACTAAATATGGATACCTTCACCAAAAATTCAAATGAGAAAAATGACTTCAATGGACCATGAATGAAGCACATACTCATTAGATGTGACTGTTAATGCCATGGACTATAATTTGTTTAGTTAAATTATTTTTCTCCAATATCATAAAAATATTAACTGGCTTATGTCAAATCAAATTCAAACACAGCAAGAACATTGCAAAGATGAACATGCAATTTACAAAAAGACAGGATGTTTTTTTTTTCCCTGAACAACAGATGAAGCCACATCAAAAAAAAATC